GTAGAGTATAGTATAGTATAATAAAGTAGAGTATAGTATAGTATAACTATTAATAAATCCTGATATTTCACAATTTTTGATGCAGACTATTTCGGCGTAGATGCAATCTTTTACACTAGACATACCCAACATAACCACCTTTCTTAATTGTTTCATTTCCATCGTGGATATGAAAATGGTTGTGTTGAGATGTGGCAACTTTTTGTGAATTGATAGCCTAATATAAAATACCACATATTTTATAGTAGCTGCAATTATTATATATTTATTTAAGCCTTTCTCTTCCTTGAAAGGACTTCAAAGACCTTCAGTTTCCCTTTTATCAATCAATATTTCTAAAGAATTTGAAATTAAAAGCAGAAAAAACGTCTTTCTCGCCTTTGGTTAGGGCATGGAATCTAGTTGATGAATTCGCCGATGAATAACTGTATTTTTCATAAAGAAGAATTGGAATGAAATTTTTACCGATGCATCAAAAATATGCAAATTTACCTTTTAGCATTTTTCTTAAAATATCAATAGCTCTTTAATAATAACTTGGTTGCCCTAGGTGGCTTAATGCAAGCTATGAATTTTTTCCACAACGTAATTGGTTGACCTCATGATACTTTGTTAACATGACGGTTTTCTCATTTATATAATATAATGTAGCAAATTTCCTGTTTCACTCCTCAGATCACTTCAAGTGACCTTGATTGACAGAGTTTTCATTCAAAAATTTTCCTCTATTTTCAAATACCTTTTTAACAAAAGGGTCGTTTATTCCATTGGCCCTTTCTCGACAAAATTCGATTTTTTTACAATAGTGATGTATATTATGTTCTGCCCTATCAGTTATATCCCACAACCTATCTTAGAAGAAGGGAATGCCCAATAGTAGAAAATATCACACGCCGGTCATATACATTGTGCAATTCTCCTTTTATCATTTCACTGGTCTTTTGGGCATTTTCTTAGAATTGGATGATTCTTGTTTCACTGCCTCTCTTCTTCTCTGTCTCAGCTGTTCGCTATCTCTTTCATTGCAATACTCTCCCTCTCGTTTTCTCCAGTCTGGCTCCCGCTATACGAGCGGCTCGCATCAAAGCGATGTCTCGCTCACTCATTGAGATACCGTGCTTGGATGGTTACGGCAGCACAGCTCACTCAGAGGCGGGTCACACGAAAAAGGGCCTAGGAGTCGGCCTCGTAGTCCCAGGCACCGCCAGCTCCGGCCTTCCGGTTGGCCAGACCACCGCTTCCACCACGATTCTCGGACTCTGCGAATTGGCCTCGCAGGACACCGACGCCTCGAGACTTGCCGACTTCCTTCGACCTGTTCGAGGCATAGCGGCCCCCACGTCTGCCCGCAGCACATCAGCTATGCCCGGCGCCGGCGGACTTGACGCAATCCCACTTGACCCCACGACGTCCACAGGCATCGTCGACACCAACTTTGGCTTGCACCACCAAAAACAGCCCAACTTAGCCACCGGCAATCGAGCCTGGAAGGTTGAGTTTGAAGCCTGGCTGGTGGACGCGGTGACGGGAGGCATCGGCCTCGCCGGCGGAGGGGTACCAGCCGGACAATTTGTGCAGGTGATGGCCTGCTCTCCCTTTCTCAACCCACAGATCAAGCGCTGGATACAAGGTAGCTGACTTCCCTTTGATTTTTCAATATTGGCTTTGATGCCATCATTCTAAATACGAAGATTAGGTCGCTTAAGCGGTATCTCATAACTGATAGTTGAGTTTTCCCACAATCAGATGCGTAGCTCTCAGAATGCCATTGAATTTTACTCAGCATCTCTTCCAAAATAGTATTCTCATCCAGGCTTGACTACAGTTTCGACCTCGCCTCATCATCTCATCAGCGCCTCCAACGACTCTAGTAAGATTGTCGACAAAATAAACATGTATTTTTCATTACAATAGACAATATTGCTTAATTTCGATACGAGTAGTTTGCGAGACTATCAGTAAGTCTTAAACACAAATTTGACTTACCTTTGAGATTGATACATAATTATGAAGACTGAGATGCTGTGGCCTTTATTTTGGTTGCAGTCTTCTTTCGATGTTTGGAAGTAGTCCGACTTCGTTTTCGCAACTTGGTTGTGTTGTCAGGGCGACCTAGTTGGATGCACACTGTTCACGGTACTTCCGGCAAGGTGCGCCCTGACAACATGATCAAGTTGCGAAAACGAGGTCATACCAAAATAATATTCGATTTGGAATAGGCATGGCTTGTCCTGCAAATCGCATCTTTCCCTTTGCTTAACGGTATCCGTGGCTGTGTAGCGGAATGGTTAAGTATCGCCACGATGCCATCCGATTTCGACTCCCGTTGAGGGTTCCTCAATCTAGGCGAGGCCAAACCTCAATCCATCCTTATTGGGAAAACCTTTGGGCATACGAGAAAAGGGGCAATTCCTTGTCATTACCTAAAGTGACCAAGTATGACTGTCCATATTCAGGAATTGCTCATAGTTTCGAAGCTTACTCGTACTGAATATAAACTAGCCATAATTGGTCCTTCCTCATTTTCGCGACCTGTCATCTTTTCAGAGGCACTACGAAAGACTTATCCTTTGTTGCGCCCTCAGCCATTATTGCCATTCCATCTTCCAGCATCAGACCGTTGACTGGGTACGTTTCCAGACATCGTTGTCAAAATCCGTATCCATAGGAACGAGTTTCAACTCGCCAAAGTCTATGGCTTCTTTCACTGACAATGCTGGCGAAGCGTCTGGGAATGTAGCCGGTCGACGATCCACAGCGAGAAGAACACGTGACAAAAGTGAAAGAGGGAGCAGTTCGGCACGGACACGATCAAATTGCGAAAATGAGGGGAAACCAATTTTATACAGCAGAACTAGGCGATGAGTGTCTTGGTCTTATCGAAATCAGCTAAAATACTTTTATGGACGTACATTGTTTTTTCTGAATTTCCCAAGAACCCTTATTGGTGTTTTGAATGGGCCTATTTGCTGGACAATTCGCAACATTTGTTCTCAACAGACAGCAACCTTTAAGGTGAGTCTTTCCGAGGCTCAATATCTTTGTTCTAAGTATGCTTTCTTTTCGGAATATCAACCTTCTGACCATAATTTCACTCTATTCATCATTTACTTTAGAGGAATCCCTTGTCTTATGAGATTTCTGCTTTCTTTTTCAAATGACCCTTACCAGTCATCTCTGATAGTATTTCTGTTGTCCTGTCTGGCTTGTAAAACGCTGAAAATAATCTACACCTCCACTTTATAGCATAATTTTATCGACAAGTTTATACTTTTCAAATATTGCAGCACCTTATTATTGCAGCCTTATGCCGTGTTCATGGCATTTCGATCTGACAAGAACTCCCATACCAGAGACTAATTTGCTTGAATCCGACTCGAACTTCTTAGAAAAATAAAGCTAAATCTTAGTCACT